CTGTCATCTTCCAAACAGAGCAGCAGCAGCAGAGATGATAACATGTTTCAGATTGGGAAAATGAGGTATGTTAGTGTTCGGGACTTTAAAGGGAAAGTTCTAATTGATATTAGAGAATATTGGATGGATCCAGAAGGTGAAATGAAACCACGAAGAAAAGGTATTTCTTTAAATCCGGAGCAGTGGAGCCAGCTGAAGGAACAGATTTCTGACATTGATGATGCAGTAAGAAAACTGTAAAATCCGAGCCATATAAAACCTGTACTGTACTAGTTGTTTTAATCTGTCTTTTTACATTGGCTTTTGTTTTCTAAATGTTGTTTTCCAAGCTATTGTATGTTGGATTGCAGAACAATTTGTAAGATAAATATGTTTTTTTAATGTGCATTATTAAAAATGTTCTGAGTGAAGCTAATTGTCATGTTTATTAAGGAAGAATGCTTTGTGCCCACCACCTAGTGTAAAATAAAATGGAATAATACAATCTCAGCTGTTGTGGCCTTTTTTGATCAGAAGATACTGTTTAAGGCCAAAAGTAACAGTTTTATAAAGCTTTTAGTTTCAATTCACCTTTTACAATAAGAAGGATTTGTGTTTATAAACTTTCGGTTTGTGAAATCCATACTTGATCTGTTCTTTTCCAACCGAATTTTTAGACTTGTTTTGACTTTTCCACTCCAAGGGTATTTCAGTCTTTTCTTTTTTACTTCATTTTCTTTTAATACCTTAATTTCTTTCAGTTCAGTTTTTATTGCACTCTTTACTATTTTCCTTGAATATATTCTAATTTGAAAAGTCAGTGAAACTGTCAAAATGTTATGTCAATAAGGTACGTCTATGAGAACTACAATCACTAAATCTACTGTATTAAATATTAGCAGATATAGTTTGATAAGCAACATGGCTCGTATGAAAACTCTGAGCAAGTGTATGTCATTACCCATAGTGTTCTGTGTAGTTATTGCTTAGTCTGCAGAAAATAATGACTTAGGTGAGATGTCTGATTTGCTTTCACTTATGAAACATGTTCACCATGGGATGGTGTCTATAAAATGAGATATTAAACTAGACTAGGATTTAATAAAAACTGTGAAAGCTTACTGGCCTAACATTTTATTTTATAACATTGAGTATGGATGATATGTAGCCAGAGATGTCACTGAGCTTTTTTGTCGTAGTAGGTAATGTAGGTAGTTTGTAGGGGAAGGAGCTTATCAAGCATATACTTGTGTTTTTTGGCCTTTGCTTGAGTAGACTTGTTTATTTTGCAGTTAATCTACTGAATAGTGGCATTCTCGACTTGATGTTACTAAGCTTTAGCAGACACTCATAAGTGGTTTTCATTTAACCTAATGACGAAGTAGACAGATTGAGGCACAGATTTCAGGGGCTTTGCAGCAATAAATAGGGCATGGTGTGCCTTAGGAAAAGAATGTTTGTAAAGGAAACTATAACAAATGAAAGAAGGTGGCAGTGAAGAGGAAAGAGTTCTCGTCTAAATGATATACACATGATATTTTGAGATTTTTATAACATCAATAGGACACAATTCTAGATAGAATAGTAAAAATAAATGTTTAAAGATGTAGAAAATTTGTGTTGACAAATTATTATTTTTGGTAGCAAATCTCAAATGGCTACTGCCATTAAGGGCTGCCATAGCTGAGAGTTGCACTATTTTGCTACCAAGTTTGATTCCTACATCTAAAGCATTTTGTGGTAGAATTGTCAAGGACTTAATTTCAAAACCATCTGCCAGGCCACATAGGTACCAGTTTTTTCTGGCAGCTATTCTGTGTGTTTTTTTTTTTTTTTTTAACATTTTTTAGAGTACTTTTTTAGTGTATTTAGCAGTGCAAATTGATAAAATAAATTTGTGGTTTAGTCTTCATCAAATAATGGGTACAGTGTGTTCAAAATACATATTTTAGACAAACATGCTT